TTCTCGCTCGAGCCACGGAAAAAACCAACATATTCCATAAAGGGAAAATATATAAAAACAAGTTTAATTACCGTGGTTGGGTAGATTAATAAATAGTGTGGTCGAACCCCAGCCCGATGAACGGTTCCGTCAGAACATTACATCTTTGATCAGCTCTAAGGCTCGGGCGCCCATCTTGGGTGTTCGAACATTTTTTTGCGAAAAAAAAAAAGCCCTACAAATTGATTTGTAGGGCTTTTTAACATGAAATTGGTTCCGTAATCGACCTACCCAATGCATGTTACACATAAAAGAGTCGAAATTACATCAAAAAATCGAAGCCCAACCCTTCTTCAAGCTTGATTTCGAATTTTCGATTTTTTTTTTTTTTGCTATTTGCAGTTTTAGGGGGTTTTTTGATATTTTTAAAAGTTTTGGGGGGTTTTGTTTTTTTTTTTTTTTTAGAGCGGGGGGTTTTGTTATAAACCGCGAATAGCAATTTTGTGACCGCAAATAGCATTTTCGTTTTCCGCTATGTTTGGAAATACTTTGAAAGCTCATTTGAGTTTTGTTTTTCGGAATTACACTTTTTTTAGAAAAGGAAAAAAATTTAGGACCATTAGATATGTTCCCCAAATAAATTTTTGTCATATCCTTTACTAATTTCATTCCCAAATTACCCCTAAATCCACTAAGGTTCAATTACAGAAAGGGGCGGCTATTTGAAATACCTTCATGAAGGTGGTGTTTGCAAATGCTTTTTGAAAGTGATTATGCGATTTTTTTTTTTGCTCATAATCTGTTTTTAGGTGTTTGCAAAATCAACTTTTGCTTTTGTTTCTCTTATAATAATCTGCTTTAAGCTATTTTTTTTAAAAGCAGCCCTAATCCTGTTTTTTCAATTTTAGTTCATTTTCCGAAATATTTGCAAACACCCCAACTTTTAGAAATAAGCACTTAAAACTAACTTAAATCACAATCACTAACTTCTGCTTTTAAATAATCATTTGCAAACACCACCTAAGCATTCAATTACATAAAGAGGGACGGCTATTTGAAATACCAAATATTGATCGTTACAAGATTTTCTCAGTATTTTCTTAGTATAATACAAATATACCATATTTTTTTGTAGTTTAATATTTAAGACAGTACAAAAATAAACCTCATCGAATATTCCACTTATTCAGATTTCAAACCATATATTTTTGCCTAATTTCGTAATGTGCAATATCGAGTCAAAAGAAAAAAAAAAAAACAAAACAAAAACCGATGGGAAGCACCAGCCCACTAACATCGCTGCTGGAGTTCAACCGCCACCGCCATCATCGCCGAGATCTCCAGCATTCTTGCCTTACCATCGCCGAAAGAGCACCATCGAACTACAAACATACAAAGATTTAAGTAATTTTTTAAAGTTTTCTTTGAAATTATTTGAAATTGCTTCGAAAGTTTGTTAAATTAGGCAGTGTAGTATGATTATTCGATAAACACCTATGTTGAGCATTGAATGTTGGTTATTTTTTGGTTAGGTGCCCTTCATTTGGTCGATTTTGTGTTGAACTTTGTTGAATGTTGACACAAGCCTTTTTCGACGTCTAGATGATGAATCTTTTGAAAATTATAACATCTATATGTCGAAATTTGTGTAACTTTCGACATAATGGGGTCGATTTTTTTTCTTTTTTAAATCGACACAAAACTGTTATTTTTTGCATAAATTTGGACAGCTACAGCATCATTGTTCCTTTATTTATTAAATTTGTTTTATTCTCTTTTTTTTTTTTTGCAATTGTGTATTTACTTATATATTTTTTTACTGTTTGCAGTGGAACCTCGCATACCACCGACCGTTTCCAACCGCAAGAAAAAGGCCATGGCCGAGAAGTGCAAGACCAATCCATCTGCCCATTTTATTATTTATAACCATAATTTAAAAGAAAAATATATATTTTTATTGAGTTATGTTCTTAACAAACATGTTAATGCATTTAGTTATTTTATTAGATTTTTCATTTAATAAGTGCATAAAATATAATTGATTCGATTAGAATAAGATGTCGAATCATGTGTTATTTATTCATTTGAAGATTCGTATGTGTATTATCATTTTTTTTTTGAATTTGATCCGCAAATTTACCAAGCAACACATTTTATTTTCATACACAGATGCAATTCAAAATACATAATTATTATTAGGCTGCGGCTATATGCAAGACTAATTCCACTTGTGCAAGACCAAATTAATTTTTTCAATGTATAAATACTATAATACCCTTACTTGTTAAAAAAATAGAAAATTCCAAATGTGCAATACCAAAAACTCAAAAACAAGTAAAACTCTATCACAAAA